ATATCAAATGAATCAAACGTCTGACTTTCCAAGGAAGATTGTGTTCATGAATATTCAATGTTAACGGAAGGCATTTCCAGAGATCTTTAAAAACCAAATGTTTCGGTGAAGAAGCGAAACTATTCGGATTGTTTTTTTTTGTTTTCGTTTATAGACTAGTACATTTTCTGACAACAAAGCTCTGTGTGAAACTGCATTTCTTGAAGGAGCCTTGCTTCACTTTATGATTCGTCTTTTCTTATTTATAAACTATTTCAATACACAATTACATGCTCTTCATTGTATGATTGGATCATTGAAGCATACATTATGTAAATGTAATGTAGAGTAAAAGAATTCCTCCACAGATGATTCACGACACGATTCTGATTGTCTAGAATACTTAAAATGATTTAATCTAAGTTTAACGTGGTTAAAATGATCGCATGTAAGCATGGTGAAATTCATATTTACAACCTCTACTCTCTCTCTATCTTTTCCTTCTAGTCCAATCCATCTTTGCTAACAATATGTCTGTTAACATTGATTACTTTACATGCTGAACGATCAATCACTTACCTCAGTATTAAACTTGATATTCTAAGTCTTCTGCTGTCAGGTTTTCAACTTCCGATCGATGTTACAAACTACATATGTCTTCAGACAAAAGTAGTATACATCACAGCTGTACGATATTTTGAACCACATTCCTCGTTTCTCCCATTATCGACGTGTGCTGAATAGAGAGTTTTTGATAAATAAAGAGCAATCTATATTTTGCTACAATGCAGAACTCAATCATATCTCCACTTTACATGCCATTGTTCACTCAGGCTTTCAGTATTTACATGTAATCTATGAAAATTAACTAATCAATCACAATTCAATCACAACTCGTTTGTTCAAACGTCAATCTCCTTCATGATGTATTATACATAGATGTTTTTGTGTTCTACCAAATGGAAGTGCACATTTTGATTTATGTCTTAAATCAATGAAAACTACACAGACTGAGTGTTGTGATATTTTGGTATTCAATCATTCAAATGTCTGATTAAATCAACAAAATGTTGAATAGTAGTTCTATTCCTTATACTTAGTTAATATTGGTACAGAATCTAATTTAGCACACTTGCCTCCCGATAGCTCGAATAAAGAACAACTCAGAAGGCAGATAGCTTCTAATTATAAAGTTGAGATTTGTCAGTCACGTATACAGTAACATAAGATAAATTCCGGTCATAAATCAACAGAATTAATAACTGAGAATATGTCTATCACTGCCCATACGCGGAGGAGGACAGAATGATAAGTTCATAATAAATCAATAGTTTAGGGAAAGTGAACCTTACACGAATAATTTTCGTATGAAAATTACAAAATTTAAATCATAATCCTCGCACAGGTTTATAACTCTCATTTGGTACCGGTTATGGGTTGAACACTCTCATGGTCATTTTAGCGTCGCTCAAATGTCCATAAATTCTAGTCTCGCCCTTAATTTGAGTGTTGGAGACATAAGATCTATAGAACTCACTTGGAAAAAGACCTACGTTTGTAATTTTATTTAGAAAATTTTAATTTCTTTGTTTTCGCGTCAAAGGCACTCTTGTCACCCACATGTTGTATGTATACGTTTTGAATTGTGCTTGTTGTTATCGCTCGTTTCTAGCAGCTTGTATAACATACTTCCTCATTCCGATTTTGGACCTCTCCCTCTAGTTAACGGGGCTGGGACGCATCAATAGCTAGCTTACAGGTCATTGGTCATCGTGTCTTGTTTCTCGTTCTCAGATTAATTAAACTCGTGATAGCCGCAAACCGAGCATATTTGGCGACGGTGTCTTCGGAAACGTGGATGCTTCTAAACTCGAGTTATTACTCGAGCAGAAGATGAAATTTATGCCAACAACGCAGAAACTTCGAACTGCATGCGTTAATCATCTACATTTGTTGGAACGACTAGATTGTGAAGTTTCTTTTCACGATTCGACGTTCACCGGGGTAGGTAATACCTCACCAGCTGATCCCAATCTACTTGATTACTTGCTTACATACTTAATTACTTACCTACTTACTCACTAACTTACTTATTTACTTGCTTATTTGCTTACTTACTGAAGAACTTACTTGCACACTTACTCACCTGCCTACTTACTTACTTATCCCTTTAAAATGACTAGTTTTTCTTTTAGCTAACTATTTTACCACACGTTAATTCTAAAATGATAACTCCTTTAGTCAACTATTCTCACTGATGTTTTTCCTGAATCAACACCGTCTAGGAGTTTTACGATAATTACAGTGTAGTATAATTCAAGGTATAAAAACTTAGTCCATGTGTCGGAAAATTCACGAAATTGTAGAATTGGTTTATACATCATTCAAAATTCCACCAAAATAAGTAATAAGTTAAATAACGGCGTCGAATATTGAAATGTATTAAGGACTTCTCTTCACTTCAAGAAGTTCTACCAATATATTATCAGAAGACGAAGATTATCAGAACTATGTGATATATTAGCGCAATACATTTCGAACAATCTGGTCACATATATACTTGCTAAGAGCATTTATATATATATGGGTAGTCCGCTAGGACCATTACTAGCAGGTGTGTTCATGGCACATGTTGAAAATCAGACTGATGAACTAATCGGAAACATGTCACTTTATAAGAGATATGTGGACGATATCTTAGTTGTTTGTGAGAGAAAAGAGGATATGTACGGTTTATTAAGTAAACTCAACACTCTCCAAAACCATATTAGTCTCTCATGTGAAGAGGAGAAAAACGATCAGCTTCCCTACCTAGATATACTCCTGGGTGGAAGAGAAGATGGTTCAGTCAAGCGATCTATTTTTAGAAAACCAACGTGGACAGGTCAATATCTTAGTTATTATAGTTATTGCCCTGTACAATACAAACGTGGTTTGATAAGGTGTCTTTTCAACAGACTCGACCGTATTTGTACCAATGACGCCAATGTTGATGATGTTAAGTTGTTAAATAAAACGTTAGTAGAAAATGGCTATCCTCTGAAATTCATAAATAGATGGAAAGTCCATGGTACAGCGAGACCTACTGTAGCCTCGGTAGAGAAAAAGCCTGTCTACATCACCTTACCATTCAGAGGTGATTCAAATAGCCTTTTACTGAAACAACGACTTAAATCAGTCATCAATAAAACCTATTGCGCAGCAAAGGTCATCATCAAAGAAAGAACAAGGTGCATGCTTCATTCAAAACCTAAAGTACATGGAAACGATTGCGTCACATCCCACTGTGTTTACCAATTTAAATGTGTGTGTGGTCACACATACATAGGGAGGAGTAATCGTGATCTCAACATTAGGGTGAGTGAACATGTACCCAAATGGCTTCAGAAACAAATACAATCAAGTGACCCGATAAGAGCAGAGGATAAACATCCATCATCCTCTATTGCTAAACATATAATTGAAACAGGTCACAAGATTGATCTAAATTCAGCTTTTGTAGTGCTGTATAAAAGTGTAAAAGGGCGTATACTAAGGTTCATTGAAGCCTTAGCCATACGAAAATTCAAACCCCCTTTATGTGTTCAAAAACAGTTTGTTCTTACCTTAAACCTACCCTGGTAATATTGACTTATTATCCAGAGTGATTAGGTTTCAAATTGTGTTCACATTATTATTATTATTACTCTTATCATTATCCTTATCTCCTCTTACCCCGTTTCCTGTCTAGTTGACCTTTTATTTTTATATATAAATGCTCTTAACAAGTATATGTGTGACCAGATTGTTCGAAATGTATTGCGCTAATATATCACATAGTTCTGATAATCTTCGTCTTCTAATATCATTATCGAAATTTATCAAAGGGACTAGTTGTTTTAAATTTCTTATATTTTTGCTTGCTTACGTGAATTCTAATGCATCATTGTCTCGTTCTAACGAAAGATGTACAAGGAGGGACACATAAATGAAATGGGTGGTTAGTATCTGACAAGATGACACCTGTCAGGATTTAGCTAGACATAAATGTTTATCTACAATCCTAATAATAATGACCTCAAAATTTTCTCCGCACTCCTTGCAAACTGCCTCGAGCACTCTTCGCAATACATCAAAGTCCCTTTTTCCAATGCTCATGAATGGATAATGGAGAACAGTACAGAGCAATAGGTTATATGCAAGAATTGACAAGCTGTAACAGTTGACATCGCATAACCATAAAATCATGCTGTAAGTCATACTGTGTACTTGCAACACATTTCCTAATAACAATATGTAAAATACACAAGTAGCTATAACGAGACATCACATCAAATAATTTATAATCTGACTCATACTCTTCCTGAGCACAATTACTGGTTGACACTAAAACATACGCAGATATGTTTTCCTCTGGTAATTAGATCATGATGAACGACATGAAACGGGTAATGTATCACTGAGCACAATTTTGACGTTGATAAATTCACGAAATTACAGAACAATTGTGTGTTCGACTACAGTCTGTAATACCTGAGTAAACGACATTTTGTGCACTATTAAAAGTCAATTAACAGACTATTACAGACAACCAACTGTTTGTTCATGAACATATGAGCAGAACTTTTGAGTTACAAGTTAACCAATCGTTGACTATAAATTAATGTTAATCACATCTATGATAGGTTTCATCAATAGGGGTCAGGAATTTCAAACAACTGTGGATAAATTAAAACTCATGTTCTCAACAGTCAGGAGAATATTGAATAAAGATGGGCTCATCTACGTCTATGATTGGTTAACAATGAATATACGATTTTACCACGTATGTTCATCTTAATGGTCAGTTTGAATCATCGAATCAGTAGTAAACAACCTTACACTTCAAACATCTAAATAAACCTGACACGTTTTATAAAAATATGACCTACTACTTTGAACAAGAAGATGAGGTGAGTGTTGACTGAGCATACTAACTCGAATTGAGAATCGAGACAATGAGATAACGTTGTTTATTTCATCTGAACCATTTTAGACACAACATGTTATCTTCTCAATCGATGTCATTTTTTCTGATCGTCGTCTGGCTTTACGAATTCTGCAAATGCCAGGATCATTGTGAAGAACGTGAATGGATGACTTTGGAAAAAGTAATTTTTGAAAACCGGTCACATCGATATGTAGGTAATCAGTTTGATCGTTATACACATACTCAGTCACAGCATTATATGCATTTACAGAGCATCAGTATTAATCAGTCTCAGCCAGCTGTGAATGGAAGTTTCAGTAGACGCAATGACGGTACGGTAAGCTGATTACATTTTGTGATGAAGGTACTTGTGTCTGTGTTTACGTGTTTTTAGTATATTACACCGAAACTGTCGTTTAAATATTACAGTATTCAGGTCACAGGTTTCCGTATTTTCATTTCTGGTAAGTCAGTAACTTTCTTTCACCCCAAATTATAACTTTATTTTCTTGAAAACATTTCTGTCCATGAATCCAAGTTGATTTCATTTCTTTATTAAATTCGTCTTATTCTCCTTGAGACATGCAAAAATTCTCCGGATATTCTCTCTTGTTCAAATTGTTTCGATAGTGTGACGCCTTATAACAATCCAGATGCAGTTCATCCAATTAATTAAAGTCTTTAGTTTAGTTCATTCAATGTAAAATGATCAATCATGTTTCATGTTTTCAATAAATAAATACAGGTGAAATAAATATGCACGGAGAAGACTACTTCGGATATATTAGACCGTTTCGTTCAAACAATACAGACCCTGAATTTGAGATTTCGGATGAGAGTGAGTTCTTGTATTATTCAGTTATATTTTGTTTTGTTACTTATTCCCACAATTTATTTTGCATACATTATTCTCTATTTGGCTTGATTATTACACAAGAGCTTATCAACACACGATGATTGTTTTGTTTGTGTGATTTTCGTACCAGAACTTCTGTGTTTCACAACACCTTCTGATTACTATCATGTGAAAAAAATTAAACAAAACAGAGTTTCATCTCAAAATACAAACACATTGGAAGAGTAGAACTGACAAAACAAGTGATGTTATTGTTCGAGTGCCAATTACCAACTCTATAGTCTATCAAAACTGCAAGATAGCAGATATCGCATCGACACGATACATCTTCATAGACTAAATGAACCGGAATTATCACATGTACAACAATAAGCGATGTTGTGAGAGACGTCATTTTGGATTATTGAAATCTATGAACTATCAAGTCATACTTCATGTCTTCCAATACTTTTCTAACAATTACTTCATTCATACAAGTCTAATGTCTTTGAGTTGCTGTTTGTTTACCATCGAGTTGTGGATTCGATCTTTGCAATGACATTCGTAGTATTACTGAATTTGAATACAGGCACTTCATGAAACAGCTGAGCAATGAAAGATTTATAATATTCTGCTATCATAAGATGGTTAACTCAAACCAGAACAACCTAGAACACCCGTATTGCAAACATCCGTTTTTGGTCAGTTATCAGAATTGATTAATAACAAAATCTCAGAAAATGTTATTGTATTGGTATTGTCATTTAGACATTAACGGTCGGTACCACAGTCTAAAGCTCCTAGAGCAGATGTTACGGAAGCAAATTATTCTCCTTAGCTGGATTGGTAGAGACATCTATCATACGGATGAAGCTGATAATATTTATTGAAGTTTCGTCATGAGAGATGCTTGAGTATTTGACTACATCGATTCAATAAATCTCAGAATAAAGATCATAACTTACATGCAAATGTAGTCCATGTTAAAACTTTCATTTTTTGAAAATGATAGATATTCGTTATGCAGATATTTAAACAACCATTTTTATTTTCATTATTTCAGAGGAATTACTTGCTGTCAGATGGTTTATTAATAAAGACGTTGATGGTAAACGTAAGTCAACACATGTGGAATCCACACACTTACATCTTCATTCCATATGATTATTCATAGGTTGTCACATTCAATTTGTCTCAGAAACTGAAAATGTAGGAATTTGTCACTTTTTAGAGAAATGAGGGTAGAATTATTTGTGAAATTCACTGATCGCTTGATGACGTTGAATAAGATTTGAGGAATAGTTGATGTGATCTGGAAATGGCCAGGTTTGATGAGTAAAATACGGATCACTATAGTGGATAAATCAGGTCACAATCCTATTTCATTTGTGATTCATTTACGTTTACAGGCTTGAACTGAATTGAATTTGATGATCAGTTTCAGTTTCAAAATAAATAAATTGTGTTGTATGTTTGTCACAAAGTCAGTTCAGTACACAACACATCCATCTACACATCCATTAATCTCATAGTCATTCTCAAATATTATCCATCGAAATTTTAAAAATATCCGTAATACCATCTATCTGAGGCTATTCGTGTCTCATCTACAACAAATAAACTTTATGGTCGTACTCTGTTGATCGACTGAAATGTCACGTGACCATGTAAACAATTCAATCATCAAGTCCAATTTGTAAGCAAACACCCCAAATCTTATGTCATGTGTACACAGTCTCGATTGTTTCGGCAGGCATTCAAGAATGTATATCGCATGCATATGAATACTTCATTGACCATTGGATTTTAATGGAACAATTACCGATTGATTGTTTCAGTAATAATACAATAGTTGTACAGCTTTAGGCATTTGACATTCGTCTAGAAGGATGTATGTTTCTATCATTCACATGACGTGCACTTAGAATTATTTAACATGAAGTCAACTGAGGAAAATATTTGACATAACACAGTAAATATTCACTGAAACATGGTCACTTTATGAGCTGATTTATACAATGTTACATATACCGACAAATTGGTCATTGTTTTTGCCCAAGTTCTAAATATCGATGGTTTTCTAATTGTAGAGTTTACAGCCAAGGTAACTTGCCTAATACATCCGAATGGGAAGATAATTTTGTATTATGATAACGTAAGTCGCACAATTGAATGCAAATGTACTTTTGTTTCACGTACTTCAGATTACTCAACTATTTCATGTTTATGAATACTGTCAAATATATCTAGTTACATTGAACAAGAATGGAATGTGTGAAGATTCTGTAGTGTGCGATCAGAATATTTGACACAATTATTCAACCTTTGATGACACATCTCATTCAATCACTTGTTTAAAACAGTGAATAATTAGAAGTGAATCACTTCATTTTCATGTAGGAGGTTGTGCGTTGAGAGAACTTGACTCAAACTATCAACACTTTCTTTCAGATTCCAACGGAAATTAAAGACGTTGAATGGAAACCGGAAATCATCGGTAAATTCGGATGTGGAGGAAGTAAGAAACATTTCAACGAATGTTGTCAGCACATTGATATCTGGTTACTCACATTATCAGTCATCTTTTTGTGTTATATTACTTTTTGTTTGTACCCTGGTTATCAGCACGTCAATACAGAACATTCCTTTATTCTATCACAGTGATCCAGTTTAGTTTTCTTACAGTTTACGTTAAAGATTTGATTTGCTTGTAAAATCAACTGATATAAATGTCGTTGAAGTGTTGTGGATAATTGGGCAAAGTGAAATTGATATGCGTCTTGCAAACCCACTGTTCAAATGTTATTGAATGTTGACCATTCAACGTTAGATAGATGTTCACCCTCCTTGTAGGAAAATTTCAGTATCACAACTGATTGTGAATATTAGTGTAAGCTAGATTTCACTGTCCACATATGCTTATTCTCACATAACCAGATATCTTAAGTAAAGCAACTAAGGCGTATGAATGTATTTATCCTACAAGTGCGGATGACTATTTTGATGTGGCTTAATCTTATGGTTACCGATTGACGCATTCGGACGAGGACATATGAACGACGAGATTAAAGAAATGAGATTTACACTCATTTATTTTTTAACTTACAGTACACAAGTCACACTTTCAGTCCTCAGTCTCCACTCAAAATGAAGTATGCTTTGTATGAAACAGAATAAAACGAATGGTACTGAATGGACATTGATCGATTTTGATGTACATTATTAATTTTTGGACATGCTAGATAATCAGCAACTTATCTTATATGAGACATTTCCCAGTTCCTTGTTTAGACCACGACTTATATGGTGCAAATAACCTGTTGTATTTATAAACGAATTCTGAATTTTATGTGTCTTTTCTTGTTCAATATATCACAGAAGATGAAATAGAATCTAAAATAGTTACTCCTGAAACATGGATCAACAGTGGAACATTGGTGGAATATGAAGCTGTCAGAAGTATGTTATAACTTATTTAATCAGCCATCACTATCTTCACACTTGAAAACATCACTTTTATTTCATCGATTTGAACATTCCATGTTTACTTTTATTCTACTACCACATGATATCGAGGTATCTATCCTAAATGACGTTTCACTTATCATTAATAACTACACATCGATTCATTCGTTGAATGATGAAAAGGATTCAAAACCCATTTTGAACTAATATTGAAGTCTTCACTTTGATCAAAAAGTGACTTCACCACAAAGCAACAAAACGATATATGAGATTATGTTAGTTCTGAATAAAATTAAGCGTCTGTTGGTTGATTACGCGTTGACGAGGGAGTGTCCGTATTTTCTTTTGGTACATGTGAAATGAAATCTCGCTGAGGTAGTGAATTCGCGAATACTTCGGAAACGATTGCCTATTTTACAAAATCCTTGCTTTGTCTTATTTATACGATCAATTGAAGGTATGGATATGTCTAGTCTCCAAATTACAATTTATCATAGGCAGTTTAAGAATTATTTCCACATTATGAAAATGTGTACCTTCTCATAAATATGTACATTAAGTAAGTATAAACAGATTTTAGTTTACCATGTTTTAGTCGACTAAAATAATATTTTAAGTAGTGAGAGAATCATTCCATGATAGAATAATCAGATCGCCGTCAATATTCTGCGAATAAGATATTCCAGTCATCATCAATGAATCTCTACCAATCCAACTAGTTTCATAGATTAACTGACAGCACAAAGAACAGAAAGCGATTACAAACTTCAATATCATCCATCACAGTAGATCGACTGAAATCTTGTCAAGAAAATCATCATTGATCATTCTAAAAACAATGTCAGACGTCCTTTGTCGTTTAACTGGATTAACATATTTGAAACTCGATATCGAATCTGAAAATAACTGAATTTCTTGAACTCGGTTCATCCATAAAACTGATATCATGTAAATGAGTTGTGGAAGAATGAAAAATTCAATGTAACGCTCTTTGCTGAGCACGATGACAGAATCCTGCCTACATGTCTGAGTGTAAACAGATATTGAAATCCATCGTTCATACTTGACACTCGACATAGTTCCATTGAATTCAAACATGATGTCATGAAACATGATTGAAATTGATAGTGCACTGAATATTGCATTATGCATCGTAGTGAAAATTTTCCAGTGAGTGAAATAGTCACTTAACGCCAAAATCACCATTATTTTATTGACTTATTGTTACATGTTATGTAATTCACTTACCTTTTATTTGGTAACTTCAAATTAAACCATCTCAATCTTTTCACAGACTATTGTTTAAAGTACACTTCGCCTGAAGCATGTCAAAACGCAAGAACATTGGATATAACTTGTTTTTGGTGTGATGAAGCGAACATATGCATTGATGATACTGACCAGGATGCTCATAACATGAAAGTCAATAACTGCCGTGCTAAGGTTAGTAATTCTTAATCCCCATAGGTCGTTTCCAATATTGAAAAATTACACATTTCGTGTACACCCATTCACTCGATGGAACATCTTTTCTTTATGAATGTAAAACAACTTGTACACTACACTCAATGACTAAATTAAAGTTTTGTATACATTGACATCAACTAATCTCATATGAGTACCATGCTTTCTTTCTATGGAATGAGTAAACAATAGATTGAAGCGTTCATTGACACTAATACTCGAAAACATAATGATATTTCAGCTCATTGAAAGTGTGGTTATTTTAGAAACCGCATATCTATGTGGATTGTTGCAAAATACCGATAAAACCAGTTTGACTGAAGAAATGTAACTTGTTGGAATTTGTGTTTCATGTTTTGATAATTAGTGGAAGTAGACTCCATTATTGAAGTTCAGAACATGAATTCCTGAGTCTCCGCTGAGTAATATGTATCCTGGTCACATTACTTTAAATTAAAAAAATCAATTTTAAGTTTATTGGTTTTTATTCGGATTGTGATTAGATGCGACATACAGAACACAAATTTCATCACACAATTGAGTCGTCTATTAATTTCAGAATGGTGTGTACTCGGCATAAAGACTGTCAAATCGGTAGTTGATGTTCTAAATGTGTGTACAAATGCAAATTGAGTAACTATTTGTTGAATATTATTCTATTATCAATGATGACAATTGTGCATAATGATTACTGAATTGATTGAACAATATTTCACGTTTGAAAATAAATGCTTTTGTTTTGTTTATTAAGCAGAACCCAGATGTGAATGGTTTGAGTACACAAGCACCAACCAAACAAACTGATTACCTCACAGAAACTACAGAAGAAACTGATCAACACTCGGTAAATATTTGATATTTAGTAATAAATACTTTATTTCAGAACATGACTACTGAAGAGAATCTAGAGAAGAAATCATCTTGGTACTTGTATATAGTGATTCCTTTGATCATCACTTTCTTTGTTGTATGTGTTGGTTTTGTAATTTGGAAATGGCTACATAAAAGAAACCGAAGTGAAGAATGATTCTCAGAAATGTCTCATAACTTATTTTTATTATTCCAAATTGTTTTCATTTCGCACTTCTTTAGAACACTTTCCATATTGTTATTCACTTAAATAGTTTGGAATTATGTACATTCTTATGGTTGTTTACGTAATAACTTGTGTAATCTTATTGACAAAATATAGAACATGATTTTTACTATTTGCGTAATTTTCTTCATTGAATAGAAACTGTGTAGCGTTAAATAAATCCCCAAAAATAAATAGCTGTGTAAGCTTTCGACATTGGATGCTGACCATATTAGTTTTATTGCATTCACCTAGCTGAAGGCGATAGGTCATGCATCCGCACCAGATCACGAGTGGGATCGCCGTGCTCAACAACACCTGTTATCGTTATCCAGATTAGATCAGACGATCAATATCATTTGATCAAAACTTACTTCTGTCCTCCGTCATTTGTTTGAGATAACTTATGTCGATAGTCTGAGTTGATGTTCATTTTGTCTATTTGGTTTCGAAGACTTTGTTGACGGTTGTGATTTCAAACTTGATATAATGCAACTATCTTAACTTGTTGGTGAATCATCTCCGCAAACTCCGACAGGCCTACAATATAATAGACGCTCTTCAATGTTGTTCACCCATTATATTACACTTGTCTTATCGTGTTAGTTCTGTTTTGAATTTTATCATTCAACTCCCTTGTGTGAGATGTGGAACACGAGTGTTCCTTTGCACATTCACCAAAAATTCTCTAAAGTGATGTTGTAGTTTAAATTTACTCACCTACTGTGCATTTTGTACTTATAACCTTGAACTTTGGTGTGGTTTCAAGGCAATAATCAATATTTCAGATGTGTACCAATGCGTATGAAAATATGTTGAAACTCCAACCTGAAACATGGATGGCATGACTTTTTCTAAGCGTCACTGATTGTCCATAAGTTATTATGAAATTGTGGCCTAAGTATCCATGCCGTTATTCCATTTTGTTATATATACTTGTTTTTAATAATCTTCATTCAGGACTGCGAGAGTACTTATCAGTGTTTTCCACGTGTCGCTAGTCAGTGTTTCAAATTCCATTATTTGTGATCATCACAGGCAAGCCCCCACGGCGAATTCATACAAAATCACAGAGAATTGAATGTTACCAACAGATAATTTGCAGATATCTCTGTATACGAAATGATGCACAGTACTTGCCAATCGTCAGTTTTCTCTAAACGCCAAATATCCTTCATCTATTGTTAATTTACTGTGCTGTTTTTTTTTCTTTTTATGCAGTCAATCATTAAGACTATAATGAAATCATTTTTGCCTTTAAACTAAGTAATAAATATCAATGAAAACCACCAACTAAATTGATCATGAGAAATAAACTTAACTCTATTTGTTGGACCATCTGTAACAGCCTAGGTTGGTTGGTTAAGAGTTGACCCCAAACAACCAAGCATATGCCAAAACAGTACTGTTCAAGTATTCATTCACTTCCTTGTTTTGTATAAGCGTTATATTCCCTATTATCTTATATTGAATGTTGAGAGCCTTTGTTTGTCTGAACAGGTAATCGGACGCTCCACTGTCACCGCGCTAAGATCGAAATAAAGACCTATTCACTACTTCTCTGGTTTCTTCTATCAATAGCACGAGGGCTACTTTAAGGCACGAAACTGGTGAGCCCTTTTTGAACACAAATTTAACCTCATTTCTGTTATTAATATTTTTTTTACTTAATCGTAAAAGTAGACCTGATTATCCGTAAACTAATTTGAGTATATAACTAGTTTATTCCGTATTATCTTAAGTTATTCGTGTTATAGTAACCACTTTTTGTGCTAACTTTATTGCTATATTTGTCACATACCTCATGTCAGACTCAATAGAAACCCATAATCTGGAGGATTTGTCACCAGTGGAGATAGACACTGTTATGACTACGAAATCCCGACTTCCAGAATTTGATCGTAGTGATCCTGAGTTGTGGTTTGCTCAACTAGAGCATTATTTCACGAGACATAATATCAAATCTGAAGGGATTCGCTATAGAGACTTGTGTTCTATCCTTCCTCCTTCAGTCGCCAAAGAAGTCCGTGACTTGATTTTGAGTCCACCATCACCACAACCATACACCATCTTAAGACGAGAGATAATGAACCGTTTATCATTATCAGATAGTCAAAGAATCCAAAGACTTTTTCAAGGTGAAACACTAGGTGATCGGTCGCCGTCACAGTTTTTACGTCACCTCCAAGTCTTAGTGGGTGATAACACAGTGGGTGAAGCAGTCCTAAAACAAGGATGGATACAAGCTCTCCCATGCTACGTCCAACACTGTTTGGATGCACAGGATCCTGAAACCTCATTATCTCAATTAGCGCGTATAGCCGACAGAATAATGGAAAGAGGTCCTCCAACTGGATCAGGCATAATAAATCACACACAAAAAGTAGAATCAGCAAAAGACCCCGTAATAGAAGGACTCATTGCGAGTGTTAAGAGTCTCACTGAGGCTATCACCAGAATGCAAATGGGTCATAGAAACAGGAGCAGGTCACCACAACGACCACGATCCATGTCACAAAACAGGTCACAAATGTCCAGACAATCTGGGCAGTTTTGTTGGTACCACTGGAAGTTTGGTGTCAACTCAACCAAGTGCATGCAACCATGCGCCTGGCCGAAGCATAATTCTAAGTCAGCGGGAAACGAGTAACCCCTCCCCAGGTCGCGACGACTGAGGAGGGGCGCCTAAACAGTCGCTTGTTTTATGTTAGAGACAGAAACTCGGGCTTGAATTTCTTGGTGGATACTGGCGCTGCTCTTAGCATCATCCCTCAAAATAAAACTGAGATTAGTCGAGAAACATCATCAATTACACTTCAAGCTGCAAATAAAACTAATATTGCGACATTTGGGCAGAAAACTTTAACCCTAGATTTGGGGTTCAGGAGGCAATTCCCTTGGGTTTTCACGGTAGCCGACTTAGATCTGGCAATACTGGGGATGGACTTTCTAGAGAGATACGAATTTCTAGTTGACACCAGGAAACGGCGATTAACACTAAAAGAAACTTCGTATTACACAAAAGGCAAAGAAAGTCACATCAGCTCTCTTAACTTGATTCAAACCCCTCCAGTAACAACAGCGAAATTCCAAGATATACTCGCGGAATTTCCAAACTTAACTAAACCAAACCCACAGCCTTCCAAAGACAAACTAAAAGTGAGTCACACTATCAAAACCGAAGGTGCACCGGTGTTTGCAAAACCCAGGAGACTAGCACCAGATAAGCTCAAAATCGCTAGGACCGAGTTTGATTATATGCTACAATTGGGTATTATCCGTCCCTCTGATAGTCAATGGGCATCCCCTTTGCATATGGTCCCAAAGAAGAATGAAGGTGACTGGCGACCGTGCGGGGATTACAGAGCCCTAAACCGTCAAACCGTACCAGATAGGTACCCAATACCTCATATCCAAGATTTCACCAACGGTTTACAGGGTATGAACATATTCACTAAAATTGACTTAGTCAGGGCATATCACAATATCCCGTGGCTGATGAAGATATTCCCAAAACAGCTATTACTACACCCTTTGGCTTATTCGAGTTTGTACGCATGCCATTCGGCCTGAGAAATGCGGCACAGACATTTCAAAGATTCATAGATAACCTACTTCGAGATATGCCATTTGCGCAGGGGTATATAGACGACTTGTTAATTGCCAGCCCCGATTTGCAATCACACGAACAGCATGTACAAGCAGTGTTGAAAAGACTGGATGAACATGGAATAAACATACATCAAAGTAAGTGTGTTTTCGGTGTTCAAAATTTAGAATTTCTCGGTCACACAATAAGCCCAGAGGGGATTAAACCTATCAAAAAAGAAGTGGATACCATCAAACAATACCCCGTACCTAGTTCTCTAACACAACTGAGAAGTTTTCTAGGCCTAATTAACTTTTATCGCAGATTCATACCAGGTTGTGCACAATTAATGCAACCTTTGACAGATTCACTTAGAGGAAAACCAAAAGAATTCAAACTGTCTTCTGACGCCATCGAAGCTATTAAACAGCTTAAAGATAAACTGGCTCAAGCAACTACGTTGATATATCCGAATTCTCTTTCCCCACTTGCTTTGATGGTGGATGCTTCAGATAAAGCAGTAGGCGGTACCCTTAACCAACTGGTTAAAAACTCCTGGAAACCAATTGCTTTCTTCTCGAAAAGACTCGCTCCAGCCGAAACAAGGTATTCTACCTTCGGGCGAGAACTTCTTGCAATCTACCTAACCATTAAACACTTCCGACACATGTTAGAAGGTAGGGAATTTATAGTCTTTACGGATCACAAACCACTGACGAATGCATTAAAAGCGAGAGCCGATAAATACTCACCTCGAGAAGTCCGACACCTTGACTATATATCACAGTTCACAAGCGATATCCGACATGTCAAAGGTCAGGACAATCAGGCGGCAGATGCTTTATCTAGGCTAGAAATGAACGTGCTACAACAGTCCACAGTAAACTTCGAGACGTTGAAAAACGAACAAGAGCAGGATCTAGAATTACAAAACCTGCTTAAAACAAACAATTCAAGTCTTAATTTAAAACAGTTCCCATCACCTGTCGATGGTATTCTAATCTACTGTGACATGACCAAACCAATTCCGCGACCTTTCGTTCCCAAAAGTATGCGAAAGTTGATATATAATAACTTTCATTCTTTGTCTCATCCTGGCGCAAAAGCTTCAACTAAACTAATCAATGCCAGATATATATGGCCGAATTTACAGAAGGATGTACACAAATGGGTTAGAGAATGTTCAGCATGTCAACAATCAAAAATTAATCGTCACACAAATTCACCCATAGGTGTTTTCTCGCAACCAGATGCACGTTTTGCCCATGTACATATCGACTTAGTAGGTCCTTTACCACGTTCAAACGGTTTTAATTATCTTTTTACATGCATAGATCGATTTACCAGATTCCCTATAGCCATCCCGATAGCGGACATCACAGCGGAAACAGTAGCCAAAGTTTTCATGCAGAACTGGGTAACCATTTTTGGTACACCTATAACAATAACGACGGATAGAGGAGCGCAATTCGAATCCGAACTATTTAATAACTTGGCTAAACTTCTAGGCTCCAATAGGATACGCTGCACTGCATATCATCCTCAGGCTAATGGGATGGTAGAACGTTTTCACCGTCAGCTAAAAACCGCCCTTATATCTCACTCAAACCCCAATCAGTGGACAGAATTCCTACCGTTAGTTATGTTGGGAATACGAACATCTGTCAAAACTGACGCACAGTGTTCAGCTGCGGAACTGGTTTTCGGAACAACTCTGAGACTACCAGGTGAATTTATTAACCCTAATACTAACAGTCAAAAACTTAATTTAGAAAATTATGTAGATCAACTACGGCACCACATGTCTAAAATTAAGCCGATTAGTACTCGTGAACAATCGCGCGCCGTATATATACCTAAAGACCTAAGCAATTGCACGCACGTCTGGATAAGATGTGACAAAATAAAAGCACCACTGAGTCCTCCATTTGAAGGTCCTTTCAAAGTTGTCTCAAGAAAATCCAAATATTTCGTGATACAAAAACATGGAAACATCGACACAGTAAGTATTGATAGGCTAAAGCCGGCTTATCTAGATCATGAACCACCATACGTGTTGTTAGATCGTTTAACTGACAAATCCATTACGGAATCGAAATGTAAAGATAATAAATCTTTACAAATGACTAAAACGGTTCGCTGGGCACATCCAATTAGTCAGTCAAGGATGTTGACAGTTTCGACTGCAGGATAAAAGCTAACCACGCAGCTAATCACACCCTGCATCTACTTAAAAATATTTTTTTTCCTCATTCCGCCTCACCGACAACTCCCCAGACCTTTTACCTTTGATATATACGTGTTATGTTAAATATTTTTTTAAAGTACTGGACACATAAGCTAGGTATTCCAAAACGATGGCTGAGGATTTTAATCAAACTCATACAACTAACACTGGCAAATACAACGAATTAAAAAAGCAACCCAGGCGAGTTTTATAATTTCTTTTTCTGGTTAATTAACTATATTGGCTGTACTTCTTATATATTTATATATATTTTTCACGTAGACTGGCTATACATATATACCATATGAACTACTTCTAAAAGTTTTCGGTTGAGGATATGTTTAGTAGCTTGATACGATTAATACTACTATTAATAAGTAGTTTTCTAGACAAAACATTTTGGATTAAACCATGGTCAAGTACTTATTAAAGTTCTCATCATTTTTTTTCATGTTTAGGAAACTTACGTAATGACTTAACCAGTTTCCCTGCAGCATGCTTTTTAGTGTGATCATATAACCCATCTTTATTGGCAATATTCAGATTTTTTTTAATTTCTGACATTTAAGAATCAATAACCGTGAATATATAGTACAGTGCGTTACTGTAAGGTTACTATGTCAGCCGCATTGATTCCACATACCTAATTTTAAACACAACTTATAAGGGAACTGTTTAGTAATCATAACATTGAACTGACAATGTGAATATCACGACTATGCTAACGTCA